CATCATCATCATTAGTTAGGAGCCATCATCATCATTAGTTAGGAGCCATCATCATCATCATTAGTTAGTTAGGAGCCATCATCATCGTTAGTTAGGAGTCATCATCATCGTTAGTTAGGAGCCATCATCATCGTTAGTTAGGAGCCATCATCATCATTAGTTAGTTAGGAGCCATCTTCATCATCATTAGTTAGGAGCCATCATCATCATTAGTTAGGAGCCATCATCATCATCATTAGTTAGTTAGGAGCCATCATCATCGTTAGTTAGTTAGGAGCCATCATCATCATCATCATTAGTTAGGAGCCATCATCATCATTAGTTAGTTAGGAGCCATCATCATCATTAGTTAGGAGCCATCATCATTAGTTAGGAGCCATCATCATCATTAGTTAGGAGCCATCATCATCATCATTAGTTAGTTAGGAGCCATCATCATCGTTAGTTAGGAGCCATCATCATCATCATTTAGGAGCCATCATCATCATTAGTTAGGAGCTATCATCATCATTAGTTAGGAGCCAACATTATAATTATTACTAATTAGGGGGCATAATCATCATCATCATCACTAATTGGATTACTTGATTAACATATACATTTTCTTATCAGTAATTTTGCAGATTTCCCACAAAATATTTTAATTTTATATTCAAAATTACCGGATCTACGAATTCAATCGTGTCAAGCCTCTATTTCTTTTATCCGGTAATTTACCGGATCTACAAGTTCAATGGGGTAGATCAGCTACCATATTTTTTATTAGGTAATTACCGTGTCCTGAGAACTGAATATTATCCCACTCTTTTATTGTGCTTTCCTATTAAAATTATTTCCATTGTTGATGTATGAATAATTATTTTACATTGTTTACTGAATCGTTATTGTTTCCATACACTCAGAAAAATGAGTGAAACTTTGTCTAAATAGTGACTCACTTATCGCACGTAGCACTGATGCGCTCCAGGGTGACCCTATAAGGGTAAAGAGTGCATCATTACTATGACAAAGTCCCGCTTATTCCACTGAGTGCATTTTTGTTCGTCCTCGCAGGTAAGCGCCGTATTTGCTGGCCAGGAGATCTGCGTCCTAGAAGGGTCTTCCAACCCTACCAGGATTGCTAACCCCTCCACAAAACCGACCCCGGAGATGTCAACCCTTGCACAACCCCCAACAGACCACCCGACCACGAAGCAGACCCTTGAGGTGGCCATAGCACGGGCTGGAGGTCGTCTCACGCAGAACCCGACCCCGGCGACACTGTGCGTGGTGTGTGAAACACTCACGGTGCGTGCCACGAACTTATCCACGCACCACAACGTGGTGAAGCCTTCGTGGGTGATGAGGTGCCTGCAGGAGGGGCGGTTGCTGCCATGGGGCCCTCGGGACGCCGTGGCCCTCCTGCCTGAGGCCCTCGAGAAGACCCGCCTCACGCACGACCTCTTCGGGGACTCCTACACCGACCCTATAGACGAACCCTTGCTCAGGGACATACTGGATAACATGCGTGTACGTTGTGAGGTCTGGCCGTAGCTATTGTGAGTTCTGGCCGTAGCTATTGTGAGATGAAGCCGTAGCTATTGTGAGATCAAGCCCTTAGTTATGTAGATACCCAGCTTTAGTATAGTAGATACCCTGCTTTAGTATAGTAGATAGCCTGCTTTAGTTTAGTAGATACACAGCTTTAGTTTAGTAGATACCCGGCTTCTGTTAAGTAGATACCCAGCTTCTGTTAAGTAGATACCCAGCTTCTGTTAAGTAGATACCCAGCTTCTGTTAAGTAGATACCCAGCTTCAGTTAGGTAAATACCCAGCTTCAGTTAAGTAGATACACAGCTTTAGTCAAGTAGATACCCAGCTGGTGTTAAGTAAATACCCAGCTCCAGTTAATTAGATACTATCCACCTTCAGATAAGTAGATACCAGCTTCGATTAGGTAGATACCCTGCTTCACTTGAGTAGAGACCCACCTTCAGTTAAGTAGATACCCTGCTTCACTTATTAGATACCCAGCTTTAGTTAAGTAGATACCCACCTTCAGCGAAGTAGATACGGAACCCTGCTTCAGTTAAGTAGGTGTCCTCATTATGTTGACCCTAATCATGCTCGGTCAAAATTGCATAAAATTCTAAATAATTTTAATATAATAATTTCTACCACAGAGTGATAATGCGCTCATTAAAGGAATAATGAGTGTGTTTACACTGCAATCCTATGCAGGTCATTGGAGACTGAAAATTAAATTTATTTCCTATACACAATAACTGAAGCTGTGTATCGTAGTTGGTATGAAGTAATGTTGCAAGTAACATGGATTATAATGCTACGTTAAAGTAGTGTTGCAAGTAACATGGATTATAATGCTACGTTAAAGTAGTGTTGCAAGTAACTTGGATTATAATGCTACGTTAAAGTAGTGTTGCAAGTAACATGGATTATAATCCTGCACCACAGGACGTGGAGGTGGAGGAGGGGGAGGTGCAGGAGATGGAGCAGCTGCTGTGTGGGGGGCAGCAGCGCCCCCTCTTCCATGACGTCGCCTGCATCGTGAGTCTGTCGTCATAACATTGTTCACCTCCAATGTTCACCATCATTGTTCACCACCGTCTGTTGTTCACCATCATTGTTCACGACCATCTGTTGTTCACCATCATTGTTCACCACCATCATTGTTCACCACCATCATTGTTCACCACCGTCTGTTATTCACCTTATGACCTTATGATGAGTTCGGGACTCCCTAGTCCCCGGTCACGCTGATGCGCCGCCTTCGTCGTCCTCCGTCTCCGAGTCGTCGTCGGATGTAACGTTGGACGTGTTCCGTCTATTTGCCCTCATTTGGGCCTGTCTCTTATACACATCTAGATGTGTATAAGAGACAGTTAGTTAGGAGCCAACATTATAATTATTACTAATTAGGGGGCATAATCATCATCATCATCACTAATTGGATTACTTGATTAACATATACANATCATTGTTCACCATCATTGTTCACCACCATCATTGTTCACCATCATTGTTCACCATCATAGTTCACCATCATTGTTCACCATCATTGTTCACCACCATCATTGTTCACCATCATTGTTCACCATCATAGTTCACCATCATTGTTCACCATCATTGTTCACCACCATCATTGTTCACCATCATTGTTCACCATCATAGTTCACCATCATTGTTCACCATCATTGTTCACCATCATTGTTCACCACCATCATTGTTCACCATCATTGTTCACCACCATCATTGTTCACCATCATTGTTCACCATCATTGTTCGCCACCATCATTGTTCACCACCATCATTGTTCACCATCATTGTTCACCATCATTGTTCACCATCTTTGTTCACCACCATCATTGTTCACCCATCTTTGTTGACCACCATCATTGTTCACCATCTTTGTTCGTCATCATTGTTCACCATCTTTGTTCGTCATCATTGTTCACCATCTTTGTTCGCCATCATTGTTCACCATCTTTGTTCGCCATCATTGTTCACCATCTTTGTTCGCCATCATTGTTCACCACCGTCCAGTTATTCACCATCATTGTCCACCACGGAAATAACGGCTATAAGTGTAGTAATAATACTAAAATAATAATATTATAATAAAACTGATTTCACTTATAAATGATAATAAATAATTAATTGTGCGCAGGGCGACGCGGCCGCTGCGTGACGGGTGAGTGGGGGGGGGGNAGTGGTCATGTGAGGGAGTGGTCATGTGAGGGAGTGGTCATGTGAGGGAGTGGTCATGTGAGGGAGTGGTCATGTGAGGGAGTGGTCATGTGAGGGAGTGGTCATGTGAGGGAGTGGTCATGTGAGGGAGTGGTCATGTGAGGGAGTGGTCATGTGAGGGAGTGGTCATGTGAGGGAGTGGTCATGTGAGGGAGTGGTCATGTGAGGGAGTGGTCATGTGAGGGAGTGGTCATGTGAGGGAGTGGTCATGTGAGGGAGTGGTCATGTGAGGGAGTGGTCATGTGAGGGAGTGGTCATGTGAGGGAGTGGTCATGTGAGGGAGTGGTCATGTGAGGGAGTGGTCATGTGAGGGAGTGGTCATGTGAGGGAGTGGTCATGTGAGGGAGTGGTCATGTGAGGGAGTGGTCATGTGAGGGAGTGGTCATGTGAGGGAGTGGTCATGTGAGGGAGTGGTCATGTGAGGGAGTGGTCATGTGAGGGAGTGGTCATGTGAGGGAGTGGTCATGTGAGGGAGTGGTCATGTGAGGGAGTGGTCATGTGAGGGAGTGGTCATGTGAGGGAGTGGTCATGTGAGGGAGTGGTCATGTGAGGGAGTGGTCATGTGAGGGGGAAGTGAGGGATTGTGCTCTAAGAGAGGAGAACTTTTCTAATAACAAAACAAGGGTATACCTGCGGTCCACAATCTGGCTATTAAATATTACATAAGCACGAGAAAATATTTTCAATCTAATTTTATTTTCGAGTATTGTTAGGGGAATAAATTCACGTGTGGAGCTTATTTAATTTTTTAGTTTTGTTGGGAGATTATATTCAAATGATGAGCTTTACATCTGTTGAATTTCTTGATCCTTTGTCCGTACAATCGGCGGCGGCTTCTTGATGCGCCGCTATGTGCTAAACTGTGATCAACACTTGAATGTTGTTGAAGGTTCCTGCTATTTTGGCGTTCACTTGGTTCTCCAAGTTTATCCAAAGATGATCAAACAGAATATTTTTTTCATATTATCGTTATTTATATGTACTTTTATTGGTAGTTGCCGTTTAGCGCCAAGACGCGTTTAGGCTTTACAAGAAAACATGATTAAAGTTTCTTATGATTATTATTTATGATTATTATTTGCAATCCTGATTAAAGTTCAAATTTTAATGAAAAACGAGTGCGCGTCCAAAGTAAAAAATTAAGTAATACAGAAAAAAGGACACCCGAATAAATTCAAAGTTCAAGCTCGCTCTAACGTCGTACTTTACCATAAGACGTTGATCTGTTGTATGGTAGTACGGTACGTGGTCATATACATATTAATTTGATAAAATTATAAATATGTGACTAATGTAGGTTTTCATACTTGGTTGCTCTCCTACTCTCAGCCGAATTTAGTTGTGATGCCGAGGCTGTTTGTTTGTTTAAAAAGTTATATAAATAATAGGGAAGTGATGGAAAGAATAACAGATGAAAGTTTTCATAAGGCATAAGTTAAGGTGATTATGTGTAGACAAACAGTGAAAATTTGCGTAGTTAAAGTGTAATGTTATAAATAATGGCGAAAAATAAGCGATTGATGTTTTTAAAGTACAAGATGTTTAGAAGGGAAAAGAATAAACTGTCCAAAGATCATCTTACGGTGATAAGGCGGAGATATCAAAGCGACCTAAGAGCTCGAAGTGGACGGCTTTTCTAGTTCATTTTTACTTGTGTGAAATCTGTTATATTTAGTGCTAACTTGACTGTATTCAAGAACTGTGATGCATCCTTCACTTCACATCCTATATATCCTTCAATTCACATCCTATATCCGCCCATTCACATCCAATATCTTTCAATTCACATCCTATATCCCTCGATTCACATTATCTATCCTACAATTCACATTCTATATTCTTCGATCACATCCTATATCCTACATTTCACATCCTATATCCTTCAATTCATATCCTATTCATTGACTGATTCATATTAGAGACTTATGAAACTTAGGTTGCACGGCTGCATAGTTATCTTTTGTAAGATTGTGCCCGATATTTCCATGCGTGATATACTCTGTGCATGATTTTATTTACAGTTGGTGTGTGTTTCTAATTGTTAACGAATTAACGTATGGTACAGAATATTGATTGTGATACTTAGTGAATAGTGATGATTAATAAATGATTAATAGTTATGTGAGTCTTGCTTATTAATCCTTTACAATTTGTATATTATTATCCGACATGCTGTAAACTATTTTCTTGATTATTATTTTAAATGCACTTGATGGCAGTTGATTAATTGTTCGGTTGACAAATTTGCAATAAAATTTGATTAAAAAATTGTTGGTGATTGATTAACTGAATGTAATATAATCAGTAGGTAGTCGAATAATATTAATCTAATAATTGATGAACGAATAGTTTATAACATTTATATATCCCTTAAATTCATGAATCTTTCTTGTCTTCATTTTGATGATTTATAAAGTTTCAGTTATGAGGTATTTTATTGAAGGTTAAGGCAACCATTCCTCTATTGGGGAATTATTCCTCTGAATAAATAACGCAGTTACAATAATACCCCACGTAGGGGAATGGTTGAAAGGGTTAAGTGCAGCCCTTGCCCCCTGAGCCCCATTCCTCCATTCCTCTTATAGGATTAAAATCTATGCATACACTGAAAGAAATGAAAGGTCATTGTCCTAATAATGATACACTTTTTGCCATTTTTTACGTTATTTTGACCCATGCAGTTTTTATCGCTAATTGAACAAAATTGCTCTCTATTTCCCTAAGTACCATCATTATCATCGGTCATGATGACTTCGATAATCATTTGCCCTAATTCCTCGTTAGCATTCAGCACCGTAACCTTAACTCTACTTAGCAATGCAGAAATGTTTAAAAAATATTTAACTGACAAGGCATTTATGTCTGAAAAAATGCAGCAGAAATTTTTGAGACCATTTTTATCTCAACCGAAGACCATCGTTTATTGAATGTCTAAACTCATATACTATGAAGATAAAGATAAACTGCATTATTAATAGAAACTAATAAAAATTCATTTTAAAAAGTGTTTGTGAAAGCAGTGACAGTGATATATATCTTGAGCTTGTTTTCTACATATTGTCTGCAATACGTAATTCGAATAAAGCGTAATAACAAACGGTTTTGTTCACAGCTAGCTTAATTATTACCAGATGAAAAATATTGAAAATGATCAATAGATGACGAGAGATAACAATTAATCGCATTAGTTTATTATTAATAAATCATTATTACATATTAAATGTTATTTTCATCAAGTATTACGAACACATGAGATGCAGCGCGTCTTACAGCGACGTTGGTGTAGCGGCTACACGTGCCGCAGCGTCAAGACCCTCCTGGAGACCAAGCCTGTAGACCAGGCTGTACAAGTACAGGTGTGTGCTGTGCAAGTACAGGTGTGTGCTGTACTAGTACAGGTGTGTGCTGTACTAGTACAGGTGTGTGCTGTGCAAGTACAGGTGTGTGCTGTACTAGTACAGGTGTGTGCTGTACAAGTACAGGTGTGTGCTGTACTAGTACAGGTGTGTGCTGTACAAGTACAGGTGTGTGCTGTACTAGTACAGGTGTGTGTTGTACAAGTACAGGTGTGTGCTGTACAAGTACAGGTGTGTGCTGTACAAGTACAGGTGTGTGCTGTACAAGTACAGGTGTGTGCTGTACAAGTACAGGTGTGTGCTGTACAAGTACAGGTGTGTGCTGTACAAGTACAGGTGTGTGCTGTACAAGTACAGGTGTGTGCTGTACAAGTACAGGTGTGTGCTGTACAAGTACAGGTGTGTGCTGTACAAGTACAGGTGTGTGCTGTACAAGTACAGGTGTGTGCTGTACAAGTACAGGTGTGTGCTGTACAAGTACAGGTGTGTGCTGTACAAGTACAGGTGTGTGCTGTACAAGTACAGGTGTGTGCTGTACAAGTACAGGTGTGTGCTGTACAAGTACAGGTGTGTGCTGTACAAGTACAGGTGTGTGCTGTACAAGTACAGGTGTGTGCTGTACAAGTACAGGTGTGTGCTGTACAAGTACAGGTGTGTGCTGTACAAGTACAGGTGTGTGCTGTACAAGTACAGGTGTGTGCTGTACAAGTACAGGTGTGTGCTGTACAAGTACAGGTGTGTGCTGTACAAGTACAGGTGTGTGCTGTACAAGTACAGGTGTGTGCTGTACAAGTACAGGTGTGTGCTGTACAAGTACAGGTGTGTGCTGTACAAGTACAGGTGTGTGCTGTACAAGTACAGGTGTGTGCTGTACAAGTACAGGTGTGTGCTGTACAAGTACAGGTGTGTGCTGTACAAGTACAGGTGTGTGCTGTACAAGTACAGGTGTGTGCTGTACAAGTACAGGTGTGTGCTGTGCTTCTGGCGATGCTGTACTTGTATATTTATTTTTGTGGTTGTGCTCTGAACTCGTATCATTAATGCGGTTCGAGGGCTGCGGCATGAGATTATTATTGTGTTTTATTATTATTATCATTATTATTATTATTTTAATTATCAATGTGTTCAATGTGTTAAATACTCGCTAATGTAAAGCTGTGCTGCATAAATAGAGTAAAACCTTCGGAGTAAAAATTTCGAGCCTCCGCCTGTAGGCTTAACGCTGCTTGTGACATCCTCCTCCAGGGCTGGGCGAAGGCAATTCGTCGCATGAAGAAATCGGTCTTCTTAGACCTCAACGACGGCTCCACACCGGACAAACTACAGGTAAAAATTAACTTTTAGACAATTATAATATTTAAATAATAAATTACATTATTATTCTTTGAATAATAGGTGTGTGCTGTACTAGTACAGGTGTGCTTTGCATTATTATTCTTTGAATAATAGTACATTTAATCTCGGGTATAATGTTAATAATATTATTAGTATGGCTTAAGACATACCCTGAAATCCTGATCAAATGTAAATATCAGTAGAGGCAATGAATTATATCGAAAATATAACCGTGAATGGCATAAATTGGGGAGCTTTTGAATTTAAAATTAAAAGCTACGACAGCTTTGAAAAAGAAAGTTTACATACCTACCTTATTTTGTACAAAATGACCGGACCATTTGTATGAGTACTTACTTGAGTTGAATAGAAAGTAGCTTTCACCACACAAAGATCACGATACGGTACCACAACACACGCGGTGCCACGCAAAGATCATGATACGGTACCACAATACCGGAGTGGTGCCACACTGAGATCATGACATGGCACCAAAACACAGGTGTGGTACCACACAAAGATCACGATATGGTACCACAACACAGGTGTGGTGCCACACAGAGATTACGATACGGTACCAATGATTAGGAAAGGGTTTTTAAATTTAGTAGATTTGAAACTTCTACTTTTATTATACTTTTATTATATCGCAATCGCTTTAATTTCGTCAGATAGGTCCGAAGTGTTTTAAAAGGCGCGTGACTAAGTTCTCGTAAAAATAGGTTACGGCAAAAATAGTACAGAGAGAGGGTTATAACGAAACACTGATACATTTCATATTAAATTGAGAAATTCACGTTCACATCCTATACGTTAACAAAAAATCTCCAGTACATGAAAAAGGTAATCTGAGCACAATCAAAATTGAGAACCTATCAATTTACATCACTAAAATCTTTCTATTTACTAGAACGTTGATACATTGCAGTTCCGTTGAGCCGTACGACTGTTGCTAACGACGGTATAATACCGCACACTTTGCGGCCGTATGTTCAGCAGCCGTACCGCTGCTGTATTCTCGCGTCCCCTTTTACAGTTTCTCGTTCTTCATAGCCGTATTTCCCAAGTAAAAATTAAGAGTGGAGCACCTATGTTTTTAAGATGACTATAGGCGGACGCCATAGGTGGAGCAGCTATGATTTATATAGTGAATTAAGGGTGGCGTGCACCACCTTTACCACACCTATAACCTGCCTATGGCCCCCCTACCCGTAAAGCTCTTCTTCCGCAAATAACTACCCATTGGCACCAGTGGCACATTGACGAGCCACCGATGGCCACTTTTTAAAATGAAGTCGTACAAATTTTTTAATTTAGTTTCTAATCCGCTGCTTATGTATTTACTGACATAGTTCCACACAATCAGCATTGTAAGGGCTGCGTACATAGATCTACCACGATAGTACAAGTAACAATGTCAGACATGTAGCGGGAACAAATTTTCAGGGTACCATACACATACCTCAGAGAAATCGACTCTAAGAAACTCCCTGCCTGCAGGATTCGAACTCCGGTCTCCCACACGCGAAGCAAAGCCTTTACCGTTGAGCTATAGGAGAGGACTAGGCACTAGAGTAATTTTAAAATATTTGACTGAAGTATTGCAAGTATTAATATCATCGAATGACAGAAGTTAGTGCTACCACCGTGATGATTAGATGGTTCCATCAACAATTTTATTTGAATATGTTGCTACAATCAAATAAACAGCCACTGAAACAAACTCCGTTTATTCGTAACGAACTATAACTCGCCACCCTTTCGATTTATTGGTGTTTTATTGTCGATTTTCGGCAGATCTGGCCACCCACCGTTACGCCACCTATAATCTACTATCGCCACCAATAATCATCGGTGCTCCACCCTTAATTTTTATTTGGCTTCCCGCGCTACAGTGATGTCTCACGGCCGGTCTAACCGTAGAATTTATGACGACCGTACTTCGGTTGATGACTGTACTATAACCGAACCGTTTCTTCTGATGAGAGTTGTGACCGTACTATGCTGATGACCGTCTCGAAGATAATTCTTGCGCAGAGCTCGAGAACTTGAATCTTGTGATGACAGACGTTATAATCGTTGTATAAGTCGCGGCCCTCTCGCATTGTCTCACGGCTGAGTCGCAGCCGTAGTGTTGATGTTGATTTTCTTGACGTGCTCACCGTATCCGTAGCTGCCTCGATAAGTCTAGGTTTCTCGCGACTGTCAATGTTCGAAAACGGCGAAACCGCTGGTTCACGGCCGCGGCCGTTACAAAGTCCGCTGACTGCAGACCGTGCTTGCGTGACGGTCACCTCCGTAGAACATTCCTTTGGCGCCAATTTTAGGGCCCTTATATAGGCAAGTCTCTCCCACACTTTAAGCCTATCTCTCGAAGTGACGCCGCATTCAGTTCAGTTCTCTCCGCGCCATAAGGCGCACAAGGCTTGGACGTCACTCCTCCACTGGGTCCGGTTTGTAGCTGCCTGCCGTGCTATGTTCCACGAGTTCCAGCCTGCTCTGTTTCTCTCCTCTTCCACCATTCGCCTCCAAGTTGTTTTTGGGCGTCCTCTCTTCCTTCTCCCTTCAGGTGCCCCCCGAGGGCCACAGCACAGTCGCTTGCTCTGTCCTTCCTCAACACATGTCCCACCCAGTTCCACCGCCGTCTCCTCACCACATCACTGATTTTCTCCACTTCTGTCGTATCAAAAACCGACTTTTTTGAGATGTGCTGCCGCCATCGAATCTTGCAAATGTTCCGTAAGCATTTGGTTTGAAAGATATCTAGTTTTCTCTCTTCTCCGTTGTTTCCTCGACTGGAAACAAGGGAGACGCCGCATTCCTCGACTGGAATTTCCCTCGCGCTTAGCTCGCCGACGCTCGATGTAAACTAACTCGTTCCCACGGTCTCGAAACAACCACGTCTTATACACTTGCTATATCATTTCAACCCGCATTCTTAACACATACGCATAATACACGTTCCATATTACCTACTTTATTCACCACAACAGGTCGTGGTACCACACAAGGTGCCCCCGGAGTTGATGTACCACAGCGGCGTGCGCGTGCGGGGCGTCCTGAGGACCTCATCACACCCACAGCAGGAGGTGGAGCTACACGCTGACCACGTCCAGGTGATGAGTGTGATGATACTGTACCATCATTGTGATGATACTGTACCATCATTGTGATGATACTGTGCCATCATTGTGATGATACTGTGTCATCATTGTGATGATACTATACTATCATTGCGATGCTATCAAGAAGTGTCAATCACAAGGCTATTATCTTAAAAGCTGAACTAATTGTTAATTTTGATATCGTTTGCGTAGGATTAGTTGATATATATTTTTTAACATTACAATCAACATTTCAATACTCGTGCGATGGCCAAATCGATACTTGTAAACCTAACCATCCTAATGATAATAATAATAATAGTGATGATAATAATAATAATGGTAATAATAATGAAATAATTACCGTTGCACTGCGCAGGTAGTGGGACGGGTAACGGGCGACGCGGCGTACCCGTTCGCAATCCGTGGCGCCCACAGCACGGACTACGTACGGCAGTTCATGCACGTACGTGCACGTACCAACAGCTTCGCCTCTACCATGCGATTACGGGCGCTCGTACGTATTTTTAATGCGTTTAATTAATATTAATGAGTTTATTATATACCTTCTGTTTATCTTCAGTAATTTACTTGGTTAATTAACTTATTCATTTAAATTCAGTTTACGCCGTACTACTTGCAATTCGCAAGCAAGAACCGCGAGGTTTTATGGGCCTATTACGTTTGGGTGCTGATAATTATTACCTACACTATTTTAGTAAAAACTTTAGCAGGTGTTGAGATTAAATAGGTTATAACCCAAATCTTTGGAGAATAATCTGTCGAAAATAATTGATCGTATAAACAATCGTACTGTATAAATAAATAATTGTAATAATTGTTCTGGTAAAATGTTGCGTGTGCTGGGAAAATAATTGATCATATACGTATACAATAGTTTTGTATAAATAAATAATTGTAATGATTGGATTGTACTGGTGAAATGCTGCGTGTGCTGGGAAAATAATTGATCGTATAAACAATCGTATTATATAATAATTAATAGTAATAATTGTACTGGTAAAATACTGCGTGTGCTGGGAAAATAATTAATGGTATAAACAATCGTATTGTATAAACAAATAATTGTACTGGTTAAATGCTGCGTGTGCTGGTAAACTAATTGATCAATTAAACAATCGTATTGTATAAATAAATAATTGTAATAATTGTACTAGTAATACGCTGAGTGTGCTGGTAAACTAATAGATGGTATTGTTGGTAGACGCGCGCAGCGATGAGCGGACACTTATCTGACGCAGGCTACGTGCACGTGGACGCGCCCGTGCTCTCCGGCAACGAGTGTGAGGGCGGCGGCGACGTCTTCTACGTCGTCGTGAGTTTACGTCTCAATTTATGACGTATTCACATAAATTTGTGACGTCATGCCATATATTATAGTATAGAAGCCTTGTTTAGAAAAAGTTAAATTTTTCTCACATTTCGTTGCTTATGTTGGTTAATATAACGAATATCTTTAAAAGAGCGATTAAAATACGTCGTCATTTAAAGTGATTGAAAGACGGCATTTGTCGCATTTATGTTTGTAGTTCTAGAATATTAAATAGACATTCCAAAAGATATTAGATATCAATATTTTACCGATAAATAGCAATAAGTTATCGATAGATATCGATAACTTATCTATAGATACCGAGAACTTATCTATAGATGTCGATAAATTATCTATAGATATCGAGAATTTTGCATGGCTGAATGGTAATGCAAAATTCTTATATTTTATGCACTGTAATTTTGTACATTTTACTGCGGACGGTGCAGACGGAAGCAGAGAAGAGCAATCCGGAGGAGAAATTTTTCGGCTCGGACGCCTTCCTCTCCGTGTCGGGGCAGCTGCACCTCGAGGCGCTCGCTAAGTACGTCCCGGAATTTCTTTCTTGAATATATTTCCAAATTTTGTAACTCGAATTTTCCGCTTTTTAGCGTCTCGTATAAAAAAAATCGATTCTAAAGTCACCTGATTTATTAGCTTATTTCATCAGTCGTTATCTGTATATATTCATTACGAGTCTACGTGTCAAATGATTCACAGGCCAGGAATCTAGAGATAGGGAGTATAAATGTCAAAATTAACAATCAAATACTTAATTAGGTTTGTTTGGATTTTGGCACATAAATTCATTGCTCGGATTCAGTTGTGATTCAGGGCTTTGTGCCAAAACTTAGATCCACAAAAAAAAACAATCCCTATAACAGAGTGTGCATCTTTTATTCAACAATTTAAATTGTCTTGATCGAGTTTTACGATACTCCATCGTTAAATTTGAGTTTCACTTAGTTCACGTTTTTTAATGACCCCAATTTTGTGTATTTTTTAAAGTTATTGAAAGAGAATGTACATGACGTAATTGAATATGTGACGCAAAAATCAAATAATTATTAAGAATTATAATACACATCAAATAACTAACAATAATAAATATTAAATTATGATGTCACAACTTCATAACGACGTCATGCTTTCATAGTGACGGACTCTCACGGTGACAGACCTTCATAGCTAGTGACAGACCCTCCCAGTGACAGACCCTCACAGTGACAGACCCTCCCAGTGACAGACCCTCCCAGTGACAGACCCTCACAGTGACAGACCCTCAGAGGCCTTCCTGGAGGGGGAGGAGGGGCTGCAGACCTTGCTGGAGAGAGTGGAAGACCTCGTGCAGACCTCCCTCACCCGCGTCCTGGGGTCTGGCCAGCAAGACCTCGTCCAGCACTGGCAGCTCGCTGGAGGGGAGCGAGAGGTCTGCACTCGGAAATATTTATGTGTCGTTTTGTTTAAATATCAACCCACTCTCTGCACGTAGAAATGATACTCTCTCTTGCCGAGCCAAAAAAGGTAAGAATGACACTCACATGGGCCGAAAGTGCATCGCTTTTTAGACAAAGAATAACTCATTTCTCATACTGTCATCGTGATTCCTGTCATAAAATATAGCTGCTTACTGTGGATGTGGGAGTTATATGTATGTTATTTTTGCTCTAAAATAGAAGGCATAGAGGGCTATAAAAAAGGTATTCGAGTGATGTACAGAGATGTACAACTAAAATGTACACGAAGACGTTGTTGAATCCCCTAAACCTTCGTGTGCGCGTACAATAAATGTCTTTTTGCTATTTGTACCTAAAGACTTTAATGTTACTAGACACTGCACTCAAATAAATTAATATGGTATAGCAGCGGACATGTACGATATTTGGTATAGCAATCGAATGCAAGACGTCATCATAGGAAAAAATTGCTAACGCGCTGAAGTGGAATTACGATCTTTTTGAATCACAAATGAGCAAGTTAATGTACCATCGAGGCACGCAATAAAAAGTTTTAAGCGAATTTTTCTAATTAATATTTTTAATCATATTCATGAAATTGTGCTGTTGTTAGGTATCATAATATGTTTGAAGGATTGTAAATAATTGTTTTTTTTATATATTTTAAATCTCCTATATGAAAATTTACAAGTGAGCATCCAACGAGTTGTTTTTTGATCGGAAATTGTAGAAAATGTTTTTTTTTTCTGAACACGTATCAACTCATTATAATGCAGTTACTCACATGTTTCATCGCACTGGATAAATGGTCCTAGGAGTGTAAAATACAATTTATTATATAACAATTGAATTGCTAGGTTAAAGTAAAACTTAGCAACACCTCCACTCGCCTGCCAAATGGTGTATCACTGATACCCTGCGCAGGGCCGTGAGGGCTGACGACCATCGGTCCAAGTGGCGTGACTTGATTGATAGGGTTTAATCAAGCCTTGAGATTGAGATGTGTTGAGATTTTTTCTTGCAATCTTTGTCAAGGTTAACTGTGAATGTTTCGTGCTATTCAGATTGATTTGGGCCGCATAATTACGATGGCGTGACGTTATCAAGATAAGTTTTGATATTTTTGCGTCAAAAGTAACGAGCATTTCTTCAGACAAAACTTCCAGTTGCAAAAAACTCGACTTGCTAATATACCCCGATTGCTATATAAGAATTGCTTATGCGTTATTTTATTCAATGTACGTTATTTTAACAATGATGTTTCCTCTAGTGTAGACTGATTCTTCATAGACCAAATGAGCTTCTATTAAAAATGTATTTGTGTCAATGGGCAAAATATTGGCTTGTAGATTATTCCTAAATATCAAGTTATTCTGGGCTATTTATATAAATATCTAGAAATTGCAAGTGAAAGATGTCGGAGCCGTAAAGTTTTGAAATCTTACTGAGGATTGCAGCCCTTAAGAGGAAGTTCGCTTTACAATAGTGAATTTTGGTTGTCAACATTTGGCATGACAGTTTACAATCATTATCATTTTGATCATCGTGAAAGGGCGCAGGTAAAACTTAGTAGTCTAGTCCAACATTATCCGATATCTTCATCCGATAACATCGTCCGATATCTCACTGCAATTGGAAATTCTAATTGGACCTCGTCGTGAACTGAAACGCTTAGCATAGACTCGTTCTGTTGCAGAGTTTCAGGAAATGGAATGATATTTCGGTTTAGTGTTAATACCGTGTTTTAATCGACCGTAAGGTATGAAGTTGAACACCTTTTGTGGAAATTTTTTTAAAGCGTACTATACCGCTTTGTTTGGCGCACTGTTCCCAAGGCTACCAGTCTTTCTGTACATGAAATTTGAATGCATTGCAAAGTACGGACAGTTTTTCTGGACGAGACATTCACTTAGTTCTGTTAATCCTAAAGTCTAAAAATCGATCCTAAAGTCACCTGATTTATTATTTTATTTCATCGGTCGTTATGTGTCTATTCATTACGAATAAATATCAGTTTAAGTGTTGGTTGATTCAGAGGCAAGAAATCTAGAGATACGGGGGGGTATAAATGGTCGAGATTAATAATCCAATACTTAATTACATTTATTTGGATATTTACACCTACATTCAGTGTTTAGGTTCAGTTCGATTCCGATTTTTTTCCACTGAAACTTATTCCACAGCAAAAAAAAAATCCCCCTGATAAAATGTTCATCACTGATTCAAAATTTAAATTTTTTTATCACGTTTTACGATACCTGCATGTACTCCTTCGTTCAAATTTAGTTATTTTGTAATGACCCCAAATTTGTGTATTTTTCTAATTTTTTGCAAGAAATTTGTACATTACTTAATTAAATATTTGACACAAAAAATAGAATTAATATTAATTATAATAATAATAAACATTAAATAACTAACATTATTAATATTGAATAGTGATGTCAAGACTTCATAACGACGTCATGGCTTTCATAGTCGTGGTCTGTCACAGTGACAGACCCTCACAGTGACAGACCCTCCCAGTGACAGACCTCTCTTACAACGATATCCTTCTCCCTCTTCCCCTCCCAACACCAATAATCCCCCCCTCTCCTCCCCTCCCCCCTGGACACGCAGCGGACTGTCGCGGGTGTTCACCATCAACCCCGCATTCCGCGCCGAAGCGTCGCTGGGGCGGCGACATTTGGCAGAGTTTTGGATGGTGGAGGCCGAGGAGGCCTTCCTGGAGGGGGAGGAGGGGCTGCAGACCTTGCTGGAGAGAGTGGAAGACCTCGTGCAGACCTCCCTCACCCGCGTCCTGGGGTCTGGCCAGCAAGACCTCGTCCAGCACTGGCAGCTCGCTGGAGGGAAGCGTGAGGTCTGCACTCGGAAATATTTATGTGTCGTATTGCCCAAATATTAACACACTCTCTGCACGTAGAAATGACACTCCCTCTTGCCGAGCCATAAAAGGCAAGAATGACACTCACACGGGCCGAAAGTGCATCGCTTTTTAGACAAAGAATAACTCATTACTCATAATGTCATCGTGATTCCGGTCATAAAAATATAGAAGCTTACAGTAGATATGAAAAAATAATTTTTACTCTAAAATAGAAGGCAATAAAAAGTTGTCGAGTGATGTACATAGAGTGATGTACAGAGATGTACTACTAAAATGTACACAAAAACGTCGTTGAGTTCTTTAGACTTTTTTGTGTACATTAAATGTCTTTTTGTTATTTGCACCTAAAGACTTTAATGTTACTAGACACTGCACTCAAATAAATTAATGGATCAAACTGTCCAAATAGTGACAAACTTTCTCCTTCAAAGCACAAGCTGAGAGCGGCCGTAGCAGTGANGACGATACCGTGGGTTACGGGACGATACCGTGGGTTACGTGACGATACCGTGGGTTACGGGACGATACCGTGGGTTACGTGACGATACCGTGGGTTATGGGACGATACCGTGGGTTACGTGACGATACCGTGGGTTACGGGACGATACCGTGGGTTACGTGACGATACCGTGGGTTACGGGACGGTACCGTGGGTTACGTGACGATACCGTGGGTTATGGGACGATACCGTGGGTTACGGGACGATACCGTGGGTTACGGGACGATCCCGTGGGTTACGGGACGATACCGTGGATTATGGGACGATACCGTGAGTTACGGGGCGATACCGTGGGTTACGGGGTGATACCGTGGGTTACGGGACGATAACGTGGGTTACGGGACGATACCGTGGGTTACGGGACGATACCGTGGGTTACGGGACGATTCCGTGGGTTACGGGATGATACCGATGGTTACGGGACGATCCTGTGGGTTACGGGACGATCCCGTGGGTTGCGGGATGATACCGTGAGTTACGGGGCGATACCGTGGGTTACGGGATGATACCGTGGGTTACGGGACGATCCCGTGGGTTACGGGACGATACCGTGGGTTACGGGACGATACCGTGGGTTACGGGATGATACCGTGAGTTACGGGACGATACCGTGGGTTACGGGATGATACCGTGAGTTACGGGAACGATATTTAAAGGCGGTTATGTCGCAGGTGTTGTGTTTCGACTTGCTGCTGCCGGAGGTGGGGGAGGTGGCGGGGGGGAGTGTGAGGGAGCCCTGCCCCCTACAGCTGCGTGCCAGGTCCCCTCCCTCACAACAGCTGCAGTGGTACGTGCAGCTGCGGGAGTGGGGAGGAGTCCCCACCGCGGGGTACGGCTTGGGGTTCGAACGGCTGCTGCTATTCCTCACGGGGGTCCAGAACATTAGGGATGTGATCCCTTTTCCCCGCTGGCCTCTGCATTGTCCTCATTAGTTGGGGAAGACAATATTCAACGGGAATGAATGTTACCCCGAATTATCTCGGGAAGATAGCGGGATGGCCGCAAATAGTGATGAAAATTGTACGGTTTCGCTGATATTTCCCCTTCGAAGTTTACCTTCGCCCTGAAATATAATGACTCGAGGAAATAGTTGACTAAATTCAGAACTATTCACAGGCTACGAAGCTATAGCCACTGTCAACTTGACAGGTCAGTCAAGTGATGCTCGAAAATTGACATATTTACTTGGAAAATTTTGGAGATATCCGTGGAGAATTTGCGAAGAAAGCGTTGTTTCTTTCTGTACATCAAGCAGCATGATATTAAATAATAAGAAAAACTTGTATAGGTAAAATAAATTTATTTCGTACGACTCATTTCGTCGGGAAGTTTCTTTCCCTTACACACAATAAGCAAGGATTCTTAATCGGAATTATTCATTCTGGATGGCTGTGTATATGTTTAGTAATTCTAGGCATTCAAGTTGTAGTGAAGCAGAATTCTTTCGCACTGAATATCCCAGAAAATGAAATATTATTATTCATACAAATGATATGAACACACTGCAACAATGAGTGAAGTAATCTCTTCAAATATTCATATTCATCAACATTTATATCACACTTATAATTAATTATTAAATAATGAAATTTCACAACACGTGTACACTCTTGAATGGAACACGGATGATAACTTCTTTGAAAGATTTCACTAATTTCTTGTACAATCCCTCGTATCCTACTGCATTATTCAGGTAGCATAGCATTAACTATGAACACTAATGGCTTCTTTCCTTTGCTATGTCATTAAAAACGATTAACATTGGCGGCGGTTAATGTTACGTTGAACAAGACTTTGATACAGCGATTCGATAGCATCACAGAACATGTGACGAACTTTAAACATTATTTCAATATCTCTACACCAGTTTCCCGAATGCGTCACTAGAATTTATTTCATGCTTTATATAATTTTTCGTATTTTACTCATCAATCTAAGAACTTGTTGCCGTCAAATATTTAATTTTTTGATTTAAGTTAACGATTACCTCCATGTAGCATTCAATCGCTGGATAAAATTCAAATTATTGCCAGACTTCAAACTTTAAAGCGGAACTTCCAGGTTTTTACATCATTATTTTGAATACTGGAAATTCAATTTGAAATTGAGGAAATTTTGAAGGAAATTTGCAGATTGGCAAAGTTTAAGGTTGAATTATCCGTATTTAAGAGGTTACGGAGATAATTGAGGGTTGGTTTTGAAGGTGATTTTAGGAAAGACCAGGTAATAAATGGTATGCATCATATATCTAAATCCTCTTCATATTTCATGAGTTTAATGGGGGCAGCTAAACCTTTTTAATCGAAAGAAAATAACATGCTACGTTCAGTTTCAATTGAGACGCTGCAATTAAAAATTCGATTTGTTCAACAATTCTTAAAACGAGAAAAATCAGAGAAATTTCCCCTAGAAATTTTGTAACTATATATAAATGGTCGTCTGTGATTGGCAGTAATTTGACGCGTTGCCAATCAAATGGGAGGTCAAATATTGCTGATTTCGGATGAAGAATTCAAGCTCAGTCTTCCCTGGCCAGATTTTTTTAATAAAATTGCGATAATCAATAATTTTCTTAGTTAAATAGTTAGGCACGTCTAATCCTAAACATTTTGGATGAGTATTCCTATTTCAAAGTTCGTCAATATAATTAGCTTTAATTGTTAGTTAAGAAATTTGTGTTCAACTAGAAGAAATTATTCAAATCGTGATATTCATCCACGTTAAATAATTCAATGAAGCTAACTAATGTTAAGTAATTATTGAATAAATTAACGGTAACTAATTGAAGAAATAAGCTGATGTTAAGTAAATAATGAGAATAACTACCGAAACTAACAAACGTAATTCACTGATGTTAACTAACCAACGTTCATAATTAAGGAAATTAACTAACGTAAACTAACTAACATTAACTAACGAAACTAAATAAAATAAACTTGCAATTTTTAGCTGACACAAGTTACCTAGTTAACTAACTGAAGTAGCTTTAACTTAATAAAGTTTACTGACTGTCACTAAGTAATTAAAACAGACCAACAACAGACCAAGAAAAATGTTAAATAAGTAGCGTTAACTACTAAAGTAATTGTCTAAAATAACTAAATAAACTCAACCAAACTAACAAACTGAACGAACTTATTAAACAAAGTAACTAACGTTTACTAAATATCGATAATTAACATGAGCGAAACTGGCGATCAAAGAGAATTTGAATTTAAAATCGAGGTACCGTGTCTATATAGCCACCAATCTCTGAGTTAACCTCATTATCGGTAATCCAAACTTTTCAGTTAATCCTCTTGGAATTCTAGAAGTTTTTAAACTTCTTTGCAATCAGGTTCCATTTCAGAAAAATTATTCGTTAAGGCCGGGCGAAAAAGAGCTAATGTGGGTAATAATGAGGACGAGGTTGAATAAACTGGAAAAATATTTTTCGTGATTCTTTGAAGGTCTCGATGAAGAAAGTCCAAATTATGTAAAGATGTTTGCTAAGGAAGGTCACGTTTTTCAAAGATGATGATGGAAAATGGTCATATTTTAGCCAATTCTGGTGCGATCACGCCACGGTAAAAAAACTGTTGATGCAATAAAACATTTTTTTTTAGAAAATGTTGGCGCCAACATGCCCTTTTAGCGCATTTTCTCGTTTATGAAAAAATGCACTATTGTGCTCGCCATGTCCGTCTGTCTGTCCGTCTGTCCGTCCGTCTGTCCCTCCGTCCGTGACCTCAAGTTTTCGTCGACGAGAAAATGCGCTCTCTGTCACTCACTGCAGTGAGTACTGAGTTATACTTTTTTTAAATGTTGCTGCAAAAGAAGCATTGTGTGTGAAATTTCGATGCAATAAGGCCATTTTCCGCAACGAAGTCCCGAGTAGTAGTTGCAGTCGTCTATGGGCAGCTACTATAGGATCTGGACGACTAAGACGTGCACGAATAAGATACGAAGTATACATATAAGAAGTGCACAGATAAGAGGCGTGTACAGATAAGATAAGCAGTGCATAGATAAGAGACGGAGTAAACAGATAAGATAATAACTATACCGATAAGATAAGCGCTACAACACAACCAATTGGAAACCTACAATCTTGCGTCGCGGTGAGTGGAAATGACTGTGGAGATCACTGAGGTATAAGAAGTATACATATAATATAAGATAACTATGTATTAGAAGTATACAGATACTGTGTGATAATTAAGTATGTATAAGAAGTATACAGATAAGATAAGAAGTATACTCGTGCAGAAATTATAAGAAGTATTTGCATCTTTCATGGGACTTGAGGCTTCATAATCAGTAGCTATAGGCTTCAATCTCATCATTTGTGTAATTTTTTACTGTAGACAATACTAGTATCATGATTGTTTTCAGCGCATTACTTGTAGTTTAAAAATCTATCTCCGTCAGACGGTAGTTATTTGGCCTCGTTATCTCGACTCTTGTTCCTTCACTGTATAATGTCAATCAATAATTATCATGCGAAATAAAACATATTTCGTCCTCCTTTACAATATTAAAAATTGTTTATTGTCATCCTCGCATGGTGGAAAGTTTACATTATGAAAGTCGGCAATTTCCCCATCTACATACCTAGTGTATCAAGCGTCGTGAAACACGAGCAAGTTATTTTCAGAGCCTCCTTTCACTGAAGATTTCACAGAAAATTCATTGCTGCGAAGGAGCTCCAGAGAATTGCTGCATTATCTTTTAAAGTCGTTGGTTACTAAAAATCTTATGTCTCCAACCATGCAATAAAACAGCGTTCTGTTACTTCGGCGCAGACTTGGCTGTTCATGTGCATTGGAAGCTATAAACTAAATATAATCTTTTAATTATATAGAAATACATGCGGTGCCATACAAAGAACATGGAAGAGAAATGAATGGTGAATTTTCAAGATTTCTTGGATTATTGAATCAAATGTCAGCATAGAGATTTAACTTTTATTTTGAGAATTCCCATTTTTTCACTTGTGATCATCTGCAATTTTTCGCTTAACAAAATATTCAGTTTTTCGTCGAGGATTTTTTTGTCGTTGTTGGAAATTTGCAAGGTTACTTTCGAGTTATACGATGTAAAACGAATCGTCGATTCGAGGTCCGCGATTGTACATAGTCCAGGTCAACCTAATAATTCGTGCCAATTCGAGCTAGAAAGTATTGTTATTTCCTTATTTCCAACCCTCATGCTTATTGCGCACAAACTGACCATCTACTAACACGCATGTTATCTCAACGAATCTCACACGCTTTGCTGAACGACAAAATATTCCTGCAGTTTCCGATAAAAAATTCCTGCACATATTTCATGATAAAATTCATTTCCAACGGATACGAAAAAATTGAAATCTTGCTGAGAATTTGAATTTGAATTCCGTCTGTAACGGAAGACTTTTTGATAGGAATTCCCAAGTCACTGCTCGCCCTTTTGATTGCGTATGACACTTGAAGATATCGGAAAATTTGTCCAGGAATGCATGCAAATCAAGTGAAGTCTCGAGCACATTTGCTAAGCCCGAGTCGCTGGCGCTCACTGGAGCGGACGAGACCGAACGCCTGACTTGGCTTCGGTCATCGGGAAGCAATCGTTCAGAAATGCAGCGTCCGAAGTGTGGCAAGCAACAGCAGCTCTGTCAGGCTTTAATATGCTATGTGAAACTAGCAGCTGCTCTGTCAGGCTTTAGTATGCTATGTGAAACTAGCAGCTGCTCTGTCAGGCTTTAATATGCTATGTGAAACTAGCAGCTGCTCTGCCAGGCTTTAATATGCTATGTGAAACTAGCAGCTGCTCTGTCAGGCTTTAATATGC